CGGCTCTGTCTGGCGCCCCAGGGACTCACGGCGGCCCAGAGGATGGCGGGAACCATGATTTTGGAGAGATCGAAGCTGGAAAAACCCGAAATCATGGTTCCCGGCTCTGTGCTCTGTGCTCTCTGCTGCCCTGTGCTCTCTGCTGCTCTGTGCTCTCTGCTGCTCTGTGCTCTCTGCTGCTCTGTGCTCTCTGCTGCTCTGTGCTCTCTGCTGCTCTGTGCTCTCTGCTGCTCTGTGCTCTCTGCAGCTCTGTGCTCTCTGCTGCTCTGTGCTCTCTGCTGCTCTGTGCTCTTTTTGCTGCTCTGTGCTCTCTGCTGTTATGTGCTCTCTGCTGCTCTGTGGTCTCTGCTGCTATGCGCTCCCGGGGGCCCGCGGCGGCCCAGAGGATGGCGGGAACCATGATTTTGGAGAGATCGAGGCTGGAAAAGCTCAAGTCCTCATGGACTTTCTAGCACAGGTGTGATCCGAGGCCCCGAGGATGGCGGGAACCATGATTTTGGAGAGATCCAGGCCGGAAAAACCCGAAATTCATATGGTTCCCTGTCTCTGACTGGCGCCCTGGGACCCACGGCGGCCCTCGATAATGGCAAGAACTGTTTTGGGACATCCAGCCGCCAAAGCCAAATCATGGTTCCCGGCTCTGGCTGGCGCCCCTGGGACCCACGGCGGCCCAGAGGATGGCGGGAACCATGATTTGGGAGAGATCCAGGCCGGAAAAACTCGAAATCATGGTTCCCTGCTCTGACTGGCGCCCCTGGGACCCACGGCGGCCCCGAGGATGGCAAGAACCATGATTTTGGAGACATCCAGGCCGCAAAAGCCCGAAATCATGGTTCCCGGCTCTGGCTGGCGCCCCTGGGACCCACGGCGGCCCCGAGGATGGCGGGAACCATGATTTGGTAGAGATCCAGGCCGGAAAAGCCCGAAATCATGGTTCCCGGCTCTGGCTTGCGCCCTGGGACCCACGCTAGCGGGCCCCGAGGATGGCGGGAACCATGCCTTTTGGAGAGGATTCCAGGCGGTAGTCGTCTCCATCGCGGTTGGTGGCACGTGGGAAATCATGGCTGTCGGCCCCTGGGACCCACGGCGGCCCCGAGGATGGCGGGAACCATGATTTTGGAGAGATCCAGGCCGGGAAAGCCCGAAATCATGGTTCCCGGCTCTGGCTGGCGCCCCTGGGACCCACGGCGGCCCAGAGGATGGCGGGAACCATGATTTTGGAGAGATCCAGGCCGGAAAAGCACGAAATCATGGTTCCCTGCTCTGGCTGGCGCCCCTGGGACCCACGGCGGCCCCGAGGATGGCGGGAACCATGATTTTGGAGAGATCCAGGCCGGAAAAGCCCGAAATCATGGTTCCCGGCTCTGGCTGGCGCCCCTGGGACCCACGGCGGCCCCGAGGATGGCGGGAACCATGATTTTGGAGAGATCCAGGCCGGAAAAGCCCGAAATCATGGTTCCCGGCTCTGGCTGGCGCCCCTGCGACCCACGGCGGCCCCGAGGATGGCGGGAACCATGATTTTGGAGAGATCCATGCCGGAAAAACCCGAAATCATGGTTCCCGGCTCTGGCTGGCCTGGGACCCACGGCGGCCCCGAGGATGGCGGGAACCATGATTTTGGAGAGATCCAGGCCGGAAAAGCCCGAAATCATGGTTCCCGGCTCTGGCTGGCGCCCCTGGGAACCACAGCGGCCCCGAGGATGGCGGGAACCATGATTTTGGAAAGATCCAGGCCGGAAAAGCCCGAAATCATGGTTCCCTGCTCTGGCTGGCGCCCCTGGGCCCCACGGCGGCCCCGAGGAAGGCGGGAACCATGATTTTGGATAGATCCAGGCGGGAAAAGCCGAAAATCATGGTTCCCGGCTCTGGCTTGCGCCCCTGGGACCCACGGCGGCCAGAGGCTGGCGGGAACATGAATTTTTGGGGAGATCCAGGCCGGAAAATCCCGACATCATGGTTCCCGGTCTGGCTGCGCACCTGGGACCCAACAGGCGGCCGAGGATGTCTGGCACGCATGATTTGGGAGAGATCCAGGCCGGAAAAAGCCCGAAATCCATGGTTCCCGGTCTGCTGGCGCCCCCTGGGACCCGAGGATGGCGGGAACCATGATTTTGGAGAGATCCAGGCCGGAAAAGCACGAAATCATGGTTCCCGGCTCTGGCTGGCGCTCATGGGACCCACGGAGGCCCCGAGGATGGCGGGAAACATGATTTTGGAGAGATCCAGGCCGGAAAAGCATGAAATCATGGTTCCCGGCTCTGGCTGGCGCTCATGGGACCCACGGAGGCCCCGAGGATGGCGGGAACCATGATTTTGGAGAGATCCAGACCGGGAAAGCCCGAAATCATGGTCCCCGGCTCTGGCTGGCGCCCCTGGGGCCCACGGCGGCCCCGAGGATGGCGGGAACCATGATTTTGGAGAGATCCACGCTGGAAAAGCCCGAAATCATGGTTCCTGGCTCTGGCTAGCGCCCCTGGGACCCACGGCGGCCCAGAGGATGGCGGGAACCATGATTTTGGAGAGATCCAGGCCGGAAAAGCCCGAAATCATGGTTCCCGGCTCTGGCTGGCGCCCCTGGGACCCACGGCGGCCCCGAGGATGGCGGGAACCATGACTTTGGAGAGATCCAAGCCAGAAAAGCCCGAAATCATGGTTCCCGGCTCTGGCTAGCGCCCCTGGGACCCACGGCGGCCCCGAGGATGGCGGGAACCATGACCGGCAAAGCCCGAAATCATGGTTCCCGGCTCTGGCTGGCGCCCCTGGGACCCACGGCGGCCCAGAGTTGCCAGAGATCCAGCTGCTCTCTGCTGTTCTGCTGCTCTCTGCTGTTCTGCTGCTGCTCTGCTGCTCTGTGCTCTCTGCTGCTCTGTGCTCTCTGCTGCTGTGTGCTCTCTGCTGCTCTGTGCTCTCTGCTGCTCTGTGCTCTCTGCTGTTCTGCTGCTCTCTGCTGTTCTGCTGTTCTCTGCTGTTCTGCTGCTCTCTGCAGTTCTGCTGCTCTCTGCTGTTCTGCTGCTCTCTGCTGTTCTGCTGCTCTCTGCTGTTCTGCTGCTCTCTGCTGTTATGCTGTTCTCTGCTGTTCTGCTGCTCTCTGCTGTTCTGCTGCTCTCTGCTGTTCTGCTGCTCTCTGCTGTTCTGCTGCTCTCTGCTGTTCTGCTGCTCTCTGCTGTTCTGCTGCTCTCTGCTGTTATGCTGCTCTCTGCTGTTCTGCTGCTCTCTGCTGTTCTGCTGCTCTCTGCTGTTCTGCTGCTCTCTGCTGTTCTGCTGCTCTCTGCTGTTCTGCTGCTCTCTGCTGTTCTGCTGCTCTCTGCTGTTCTGCTGCTCTCTGCTGTTCTGCTGCCCTCTGCTGTTCTGCTGCTCTCTGCTGTTCTGCTGCTCTCTGCTGCTCTGCTGCTCTTCTGCTCTGCTGCTCTTCTGCTCTGCTGCTCTTCTGCTGTTCTGCTGCTCTCTGCTGCTCTCTGCTGTTCTGCTGCTCTCTGCTGTTCTGCTGCTCTCTGTTGTTCTGCTGCTCTCTGCTGTTCTGCTGCTCTCTGCTGTTCTGCAGCTCTCTGCTGTTCTGCTGCTCTCTGCTGTTCTGCTGCTCTCTGCTGTTCTGCTGCCCTCTGCTGTTCTGCTGCTCTCTGCTGTTCTGCTGCTCTCTGCTGTTCTGCTGCTCTCTGCTGTTCTGCTGCTCTCTGCTGTTCTGCTGCTCTCTGCTGTTCTGCTGCTCTCTGCTGTTCTGCTGCTCTCTGCTGTTCTGCTGCTCTCTGCTGTTATGCTGCTCTCTGCTGTTCTGCTGCTCTCTGCTGTTCTGCTGCTCTCTGCTGTTTTGCTGCTCTCTTCTGCTCTGCTGCTCTTCTGCTCTGCTGCTCTTCTGCTCTGCTGCTCTCTGCTGTTCTGCTGCTCTCTGCTGTTCTGCTGCTCTCTGCTGTTCTGCTGCTCTCTGCTGTTCTGCTGCTCTCTGCTGTTGTGCTGCTCTCTGCTGTTCTGCTGCTCTCTGCTGTTCTGCTGCTCTCTGCTGCTCTCTGCTGCTCTCTGCTGCTCTCTGCTGCTCTGGATTGGTTTTCACTCGGTTGGTTTTCGCTTGAACGGATTACCTTTTCGCTCGAACGAGCGTCTTTTCGCTTGAACGATCCACCCTCGGGCCACGCATGGCGAACTGGGCCAACTGTCTGCTGAACAGGGGAGGAGGGGGAGGAGGAGGAGGAGGAGGAGGAGGAGGAGGAGGAGGAGAGGAGGAGGAGGGGGAGGAGGGGGAGGAGGAGGAGGAGGAGGAGGAGGAGGAGGAGGCGGAGGAGGCGGAGGAGGAGGAGGAGGAGGAGGAGGAGAAGTTAAAGTAACCTAAAGGAGGAAGAGGATGAGGATGAGGATGAGGATGAGGATGAGGAGGAGGAGGAGGGGGAGGAGGAGGAGGAGGAGGAGGAGGAGGAGAAGGAGGAGGAAGGGGGACCGCTCAGATGCCAGCCCAGAGTTCAAGGTGGTGGGCCAGAACCGGCGGCGCGACACGCTAAGTGAAAGTCCCCGACCGTATCATTGAGGTTCCCTCGCTGGGAAACTGGGACGCCAACGCTTCTTTTACGGCTAAGCCGAACCTTGGCGGACTTCCGCGCCCGGTCCAGCCTCGCTCTCCTACCGCTCCTCATCCCATTCCTCACCCTCCCGCTCAGCGCGCCCCTCCTTTTCCTCCTCCTCTTCCTCGTGCTTCTCCTGCTTTTCCTCGTCCTCCTCCTCCTCCTCCTCCTCCTTCTCGACCTGCCCCCCTCCGTCGTCTCCTCTCCTCCCACTTCTCCTGCTCCTTCTCCTTCATGTCCACCTCCTCCTCCTTCAGGAGGAGGGGGGGAGGGGGAGGACGATAAGGCTAGGAGCAGGAGAACATTCGGAGGGAGAGGAAGGGGGAGAAGGGAGAGGACGAGGAGAGGGTGGAGGGGGTGGAGAGGGTGGAGGACGGGGGGGGATGACGCAGAACGAGGCGGCAGGATGCAGGCCGCAAGAGCAGGTGGCGCCCGCAGCGGCGGCCGCGTGGCCTCCACGGCTTCGGCGTCGCGCTTGGCGGCGCCGTCGGCGGCGCCGTCGGCGGCCCCGTCGGCGGCGCCGTCGGCGGCACCGTCGGCGGCGCCGTCGGCGGCGACTGCCCGCGCGGCGGAGACCGGCCGCGCTTCGGGACGGCGGCGCTGCCGGCGGCGCTGAAGAGCCCCGGCGGTGGCCTCGCGCGTCGGTCGTCGGTCGTCGCCGCCGTCCGTCGCGAGCGTCGGCGTGGCCGTCGTCGTCGGGGGCGGGGGGGGGCGGGGGGGGGGGGGGGCGGCGGGAGGGGAGGGGAGGGGCGGGGAGAGCGGCCGCGGGGAGGAGGAGGGGAGAGGCGGGGCGGGGAGCGGGAGGGGGCCGAGAGAGGACGCCTCCAGGGGCCCTCGGCCAGCGAAGGCGTCTCAAGTGGAGGAGGGCCCCACGTGCCTCCGCACCGCTGCAGCTTGCCAGAAGATGGCGTCGGGTGTCGCCCGCGCGGGAGATCGGGCTCCGAGGGGGCCGCTTGCGGGCCCCGGGGCCGTCCACAGAACAACTCGGGCTCCCCCCCCAGACATGCGACGTCCTGATTTTTTCAGCACGGCGTCCCTGGAAGTCCCGACCCTTTCCCCGGGGCCAGTTTTTCGACCTGAGTCGTTTTTTGACGCTCCCGAGGCCCGGCGAGGGCCCCCCGAGGCCGAAATTGGCAAAAAATCAGCCGTCCTGATTTTTTCACGACGCGAGCATGTCTGGGCCTCCTGCCCCCGGCCCCGCCTCTCCTCCGGCTCCCCCTGGTCCGGGACCAGCGCCACGGAAAAAGCGCGGAAAGAAAGGATGCAGAGAAAGCACTTTCTTCATATTGAACGGTCATACAGAAGGGGCGTTGACCTAAGGAACCCTAAATAAGAAACGAGGCCTCTTTTTCCCATAAGTTTAACTTCGATTTCCCATCGAAGCCCTAAGCAAAACTAAAGGCGAACTGCAAAACAACTAAGGAACACCGAGCCCCTCCCCAACGAAAAGGGTTCCTTCCTCAGTGACCCCGACTGTATTCATGAGCACATTCACTTCGATCCCCTCTCGATCCATATTCGAGGGCGGGAGGATCAATGGTCCTCCCGCCCTCTCCTCCTCATCCGCCCTCCAGCTCCTGCGTCCTGTTCTGGTCCCCGGGGGCATCCTTCGGGCCCTGGGGCCGTCCACAGAACGACCCAGGCCCCTGCCTCCTGCCGCCCCCTCCTTCGCCTCGATGCGAGCATCACGGTTCTCCACGCTGCCCTCCTGGCCCCTTCGCCCTCTCCCTTCTCCTCCAGCAAGATTTTGAATACGACCGGCCCGGGGCTGAGGCGAGAGCCCCATATTGAAAACCATCCCCCCTCAACCAATGAAGCAGGTGCGAACTCTTAAGGCGAATGTGCGCGGCGCTGAGGCTAGAACCACATTTGGAAAACGACCACCCCAATTCCTGAAAGTGTCGCAGGTGATGTCAAGCCTCCTGATCAAATCAATGAATGATGAGGAAGTCTCAGGTGTGTCGCCTGGTCAGGCCTACGAACACGTCTTGGGGTGCGACAGCTGGAAGCATTGCATGAAGAAAAAATGCAGAGGAGGAGGACAGGTTGAAGAGGAGGAGGAGGAGGAGGAGGAGGAGGAGGAGGAGGAAGAGGAGAAAGAGGAGGAAGAGGAGCGCAGCCTGCCATTCGTGTCAAGAGCGACCTGATTACCGCAGGTTTGACACCGCCTCGACCGTTCACCTGGGCCCTCCGTGCGTTCTGTTTTAAAGAACCCCCGCCCCCCCCCCCCCCCCCACGCCTCCGCCACGTCTGACACCCCGAGGCTCCTGGGCCCTCCGTGCGTGCTGTTTTAAGAACCCCCCACCCTGCAAAAACGCGCGCCAACATCCCCACCACGCCCCCACCACGTCTGAAACCTCAGGCTCCTGGGCCCTCCGTGCGTGCTGTTTTAACGACCCCCCGCCCTGCAAAAACACGCGCCGGCAACTCCCGCCACGCCCCCGCCACGTCTGACACCCCCAAGCTCCTGGGCCCTCCGTGCGTGCTGTTTTAAGTACCTCCCACTCTGCAAAAACGCGCGCCGGCACCCCCCACCACGCCCCCACCACGTCTGAAACCTCAGGCTCATGGGCCCTCCGTGCGTCCCCCCCGTCCTGCAAAAACGCGCGCTGGCACCCCCCACAACGCACCCACCACGTCTGACACCTCCAGGCTCCTGGGCCCTCCGTGCGTGCTGTTTTAAAGACTCCCCACCCTGCAAAAACACGCGCCGGTACCCCCCACCACGCACCCACCACGTCTGAAACCTCAGGCTCTTGGGCCCTCCGTGCGTGCTGTTTTTTTAAATACCCCCCGCCCTGCAAAAACACGCGCCGGCACCTCCCACGACGCCCCCACCACGTCTGACACCCCGAGCCTCCTGGGCCCTCCTTGCGAACTGCTTTAAAGACCCCCCGCCCTGCAAAAACGCGCGCCAACACCCCCACCACGCCCCCACCACGTCTGACACCCCCAGGCTCCTGGGCCCTCCGTGCGTGCTGTTTTTTTAATACCCCCCGCCTTGCAAAAAAACATGCGCAGGCACCCCCCACCACGCCCCCATCACGTCTGCCACCCCCAGACTCCTGGGCCTTCCGTGCGTGCTGTTTAACAACCCCCCCGCCCTGCAAAAACACGCGCCGGCACCCCCCACCACGCACCCACCACGTCTGAAACCTCAGGCTCCTGGGCCCTCCGCGCGTGCTGTTTTTTTAAATACCCCCCGCCCTGCAAAAACGAGCGCCGGCACACAACCACGCACCCACCACGTCTGACACCGCCAGGCTCCTGGGCCCTCCGCGCGGCTGTTTTTTAAATACCCCCCGTCCTGCAAAAACACGCGCCGGCACCTCCCACGACGCCCCCACCACGTCTGACACCCCCAAGCTCCTGGGCCCTCCGTGCGTGCTGTTTTGAGGACCCCCACCCTGCAAAAACGCGCGCCAGCCCCCCCCACCACGCACCACCACGTCTGACACCCCCAGGCTCCTGGGCCCTCGGTGCGTGCTGTTTTTTAAATACCCCCGCCCTGCAAAAACGCGCGCCGGCACCCCTCATCACGCCCCCACCACGTCTGACACCCCAAGGCTTACTTCGGGCGTGTCCCAGTACAGGTGGATTTTGGACGGAAGAAAAATACTCAAAACATGCGCCCGAATTGTGGAAAAATGCAAAAGAGTACCCTGTGACGTACCCAACCCTTTCTATACATGTGGCGATTATACTCAGGACCACTCAATGCTGACTGGCATTCTGAAGAACCCGCAGTGCGCAGAAAGAGCACCCAACAATGCTGTCAGAAGAGCAACAAGCAGTCCCTTGGTGATCCGCGTATGACGTACTTCCGCTGGGCCTCCCAGGAGCCCACGAAAGTGGCGATAGCTGCTCAGATCGCAGCCCCCCAAAGGCGGCGAGGTCCCGTGGTGATCCGCGTATGGCGTACCTCCGCTGGGCCTCCCAGGAGCCCACGAAAAAGGTGACAATTGTGCAGATCGCAAGCCCCCCAAAGGGCGACGAGGTACCGAGGTGATCCTCGTGGGACCCACCTCCGCTGGGCCTCCCAGGAGCCCACTAAAGTGGCGACAATTGCGCAGATCGCAGCCCCCCAAAGGGGCGGCGAGGTACCGAGGTGATCCGCGTGGGTCCCACCTCCGCTGGGCCTCCCAGGAGCCCACGAAAACGGCGACAATTGCGCAGATCGCAGCACCCACGGGCGGCGAGGTTCCTTGGTGATCCGCGTATGACGTACCTCCGCTGGGCCTCCCAGGAGCCCACGAAAATGGCGACAATTGCGCAGATCGCAGACCCACAGGCGCGGCGAGGTCCCGTGGTGATCCGCGTATGACGTACCTCCGCTGAGCCTCCCAGGAGCCCACGACAGTGGCGACAGTTGCGCAGATCGCAAGCCCCCCAGGGGCGGCGAGGTCCTGTGGTGATCCGCGTATGACGTACCTCCGCTGGGCCTCCTAGGAGCCCACGAAAGTGGCGACAATTGCGCAGATCGCAAGACCCCCAGGGGGCGGCGAGGTACCGTGGTGATCCGCGTATGGCGTACCTCCGCTGGGCCTCCCAGGAGCCCACTAAAGTGGCGACAATTGCGCAGATCGCAAGCCCTCCAAAGGGGCGGCGAGGTACCGAGGTGATCCGCGTGGGACCCACCTCCGCTGGGCCTCCCAGGAGCCCACGAAAACGGCGACAATTGCGCAGATCGCAAGCCCCCCAGGGGACGGCGAGGTACTGAGGTGATCCGCGTGGGACCCACCTCCGCTGGGCCTCCAAGAAGCCCACGAAAGTGGCGACAATTGCGCAGATCGCAAGCCCCCCAAAAGGGCGGCGAAGTACCGAGGTGATCCGCGTGGGACCCACCTCCGCTGGGCCTCCAAGAAGCCCACGAAAGTGGCGACAATTGCGCAGATCGCAAGCCCCCAATAAGGGCCGCGAGGTCCCGTGGTGATCCGCGTGGTCTCTCAGGAGCCCACGAAAGTGGCGACAATTGCGCAGATCGCAAGCCCCCCAGGGGGTGGCGAGGTACCGAGGTGATCCGCGTGGGACCCACCTCCGCTGGGTCTCACATGAGCCCACGACAGTGGCGACAGTTGCGCAGATCGCAAGCCCCCCAAGGGCGGCGAGGTACCGAGGTGATCCGCGTGGAAAGTACCTCCGCTGGGCCTCCCAGGAGCCCACGGAAACGGCGACAATTGCGCAGATCGCAGCCCCCCCGGGGGCGGCGAGGTGCCGAGGTGATCCGCGTGGGACCCACCTCCGCTGGGCCTCCTAGGAGCCCACGAAAGTGGCGACAATTGGGCAGATCGCAAAACCCCCAGGGGGCGGCGAGGTACCGAGGTGATCCGCGTGGGACCCACCTCTGCTGGGCCTCCCAAGAGCCCACGAAAGTGGCGACAATTGTGCAGATCGCAAGCCCCCCAAAAGGGGCGGCGAGGTCCCGTGGTGATCCGCGTGGGACGTACCTCCGCTGGGCCTCCCAGGAGCCCACGGAAGTGGCGACAATTGCGCAAATCGCAAGCCCTCCAAAGGGGCGGCGAGGTACCGAGGTGATCCGCGTGGGACCCACCTCCGCTGGGCCTCCCAGGAGCCCACGAAAGTGGCGACAATTGCGCAGATCGCAGCCTGACGGCACGAGAGAAGAGCAGAGGGGAACACCGGAAACAGGAGAGAAGGAGGAGGGGAGGAGAGGGGAGGAGAAAGAAGGAAGGAAGGACGGGGCGACCACACTGCTCTATTCAAAACGAGTGCCCAACACAGGAGGGTTGGGAAAAAATAGTCCCCATAGTATGTTTTGACTATTTTTGGATAGTCCTTCTGTAGAAGGACAGGTCCGACTGAACCCCAGGCTCCTGGGCCATCCGTGCGTACCCCCTGCCCTGCAAAAACGCGCGCCGGCACCCCCCACCACGCCCCCACCGCGTCTGACACCCCCATCGGGAGCGGCCAAGAGGGGGGTGGGGTGTCCAAGAGGGGGGGTGCAAATCATGACGGGCGGCATGTGCGCGGCCCAGCGGGGGGGCCTGGGACGTAATGAAATAAGAAGAGGCGCCATGAAACCTGAGGAAAAATCATGGCCCGCGCCATGAAATCCCCCCCCCTAGTCATCCCCCCCCCCTCTTTTCCGCTCCCGACCCCACGCTCCTGGGCCCGCCGTGCGCGCTGGTTTCCGTACCCCCCCACTGAGCGCCAGGACCGCCAGAGGGCCCGCCCGGGCCCCGCGGCAGGAGCGGGCCGTCGACCTCGACACCATACTCGACATGCCTGACAGGGCTTCCGGCCCCCTTCCGTGCACGGCAAGCGGCAAGTTCGTGCGGCGACGGCGCGCTGGCGGCGCCGGAAACGGCGTTCCAGGTGGAGCCCCGCACCAACGAGCGACGCGGAGGCACCCATGGGCAAGGTAGCGCCACGGGAGCCGACGGAATTCAACTCTGAACGATCGGGGCCGCGATCGGAGCTCCTCGTGGTCACCCGGGAACCACGAACCCTGACCTTGACTCGTAGCAGCCTCGGCCCGAGGACAACCTGTGCGCTTCTTGGCTGGTGGATCGGCGACCCTGTGAGACCTCTGCTCTGGAGTGCCCCTCGAACCAGCCCCCCTCCAGGAGTACGAAGATACCATACCTCGTGTCCGGGGAACCCTGGCTCCTTCACAACGGGTGTCGCGCCGCGGGTGTGCAACCTGCACTTCCGCCAGCTTCCGCCCGTCGCCCCTCTGCCGCAGCGCCCGGGTTGAAGATCCTCGCCCTCCAGGGGGGGCCGGGCCGCCAGGCGAGCGGGCGGTCCTGAACGGGCGGGGGGCCGCCGATCCTCACGGGCAGGTCGGGCGGGCGGGCACAGCGTCGAGCAAACCGGCGGCAGGGAGGAAGCGGGCGGCAGGGCGGGCCGGGGAGGAAAGTGTCGAGCAGACTGTCGCAGTGGAGGAGCCGCGCGGGAGGGTCGGGGGGGGCCCTGACGGGTGGGTCGAGCGATGGGCCGAGTCGGAACAACGTGGGCAGCGAGCTGGGACATCACACCAAGCGAGACAGGCGCCACAAGAGGATGTGGCGCAACGGCGAGGCCCCTCGCAACGCGAGGAAGCGGTGTGCGCACGGAGCGGACCTCCTCCATGCAGCGGGCACGTTCTGGATGGCGGCATCCTCTGTCCGAGGATGTCTGTCTGTCTCTCTTCCTCCCGCCCCCTCCCTCCGTTCCTTCCCCAACTCCCCCTCCCTTTCTGTCTCTTTTTTGTTTTCTCTCTCTCTCTCTCTATACCTCTCTCTCTCTATCGTTCTCTCTTTCTCTCTCGTTCTACCTCTCCACCTCACTCTTTTCCCCCCCCTCCTTTTCTCTCTCCACTGTCTCCGCCAACCTTCAGCAGCGTCCTTCCCAGCAGTCCCGTCCTCCCCCCTCGATCCACCAATGTATTTTTGTTGCCTCTCTCTCTCTCTATATATATATGTATCCACTCACTGTCTCCGCCAGCCTTCAGCAGCCTCCCTTCTCGCAGCCCTCTGAGGCTCTCGATCCATCGGATCTCTTGGTGCAGCCATCGTGCTGCCATGGGGAAGGGTTGGGCTCTTGGCCGCGGGTGGCCTCGGCCACAGATAAGCTCCCCGGCCTTAACATAAAAAGGCATGACCCGGCAATCGGAGCACTTCCTGAGCCCGACGTGGTCCTTACTTCGGCGTCCTGACTGTATCTCCGAGTAAGAGTTGCGGCGCTGCCTGTCCAGTGCCGGATCTTCTTTTCTCATCCCATTGGCTGATCCAGCGCGACAGCTCCCCAGATTTGGGCATTTGGGACAATTTCTTGGGTATGTTGTACTTTTCGTCCAAAATCCGCCTGTAGGGGGACACGCTTGACTGTAGCTCGCACCCCGTCGCTCTCCAGCTCTCTCCCTTGCTTCCCAGGGTCGGGCTCAGACTCTCCGGCGCCACGTCTTTGCTCAACACGCGGGCCGCGAATACCATCTCAACATCTCTGCTGCCGAAAACCAGTCTTGCGTGTAATTCCAGCGCGGCCTCTCGGGAGAAGGAGGGCCATGAGGGAGGGGACGATCGCGCAATGCCAATACGTACGCGATTGTCCTCCGCCCGAAAAGCGTTGGCAAGTCCATTCGGCTGCGTCCCTGAGTCATTATACTCGGGCTCTAAGTTGACAGTCTCAGAGGAGAGGAGGTCTACAGTGCCGAAGCAAAGACAAATCCATGATCTTTGTATGATCTTGCACCGATTGCATAGGTCGACATGCATGGCACTTCCCTTGCATAGAACCACTGGTGGGATGCTACGAGTGCTCAAAGCCCTTGCTCACTGAACCACGCCCTTTGTGCTGTAGTCGGACCGATCGGTGAAGGAATCAATTTCAAGACTTTTCCTGCAAGGCTTGCTCCAATCAGCAAATGCCGAAGGGCTATGATAGTTTCGTGCAACCAGCCAGCATCGAGAAAAGCCCCACTTCGCCCATACGAGCTGCCCGTCGCCGAGGGCTTGTGGCAACTCCGTGATCGACTGGGCGACTCGCACGGCCTGCCTCCAATCACCCACCCCTTAAATATAGGGTACACAAGCGCATGGAAACCTAGTGAGGGTGTCAAGTCATCGGGGGCAAGCGTGGAGTCGGACCGCTCAACTTTGCTTGTGAGGGAGAAGATGGGAGCGAACCGCATGCTTCAACGGTCAGCGTCGTCGAAATGCGAATGCCGAGGCGTACCTGAAGCAGTCATGCCGCGCAACTATACTGCACTGTGGATGTAGCGTCGCGGATTGCTACCGTGGTCGAATTGGCCACTGGGTGCGAATACAGAAGCTGTGGAAGCGGCCCCGGGAAACCATTACAACCACTGATTGTGCCCGCAGCCTCGCCGCCACTCGTGTATGCAAGCATGCGAGCTGCGCAGCTGTCGCCACTTTCGTTAGCTCTGGGAGGCACGGCGCAGAGGATGGCAGCGCAAATCGTGCGTATCTGGCGATGTGTTCTTTACTATGGAGCGTTCATACAAATATTCGCCTTCCGAGGAGAAGGGGTCGGGTACGTCTTGAGCAATTTTGTTCAATACGTAAGAGGTCTGGAGGTGAGGTGCAACGATACAAGGGATACCTGTTCGGGGGAGGGAACATCGACATGGAATCCAAATTCGCATACTGGGCGGGGTGGGCTGTCGGGCCTCTATCGGCGATGAATGGAGGGTTCAGAATCGATGCGTCCCCTCTGAGCCTCTCCCAGCTCTATCGTTGCCCCTGCTCCGACGGGCTTTCGGGCCATACCTCGGGCATCGATCCGGGCACCCCTGGAAGGTCTTCGGTGCAGCGCAGCTGCTCGAAAGCACCCTTTGAGCCGACAGACCGACGTTAGCCGAGGGAAACGTCCGAAAACCTCGAACCTCGAAACCCAGCGGTGCCCCCGAGAGGAGGAGCAGGCAGGACGCCGTGACCGTGGCTGGCGCCGGCGAGGCGCGCGGGGTCCCTGTTGACCCGCTGGGCGGGGCTGTGCTCACCCTCCGACTCGTCGCTGCAGGTGGCCTCCGAGATGTGGCCCGTGCTCGCTTCGGTGTCCGTCACGCTGGGGCGTGGCCAGCGGGGCGCGCGGGGGTCGAGCGAAGGGATCACTCTCGGCACACTCTTGCGGAACCGACGAGGCAACAACAACAACAACAGCACCAGGAACCCACATCTTCAAGGGTAGCTGACCACCCCCTTAAAACAGCAACAGCAACAATCAGTTTACACGAGTGATCTATGATTATGTATGCAGCTTGCATCCATCATGATAGATCCCCCTCATGGGGGACTTTTCTTGCACGGGGGAACCCGATATTCCCTTACCCAGATCTCTCGCCCAGGGAGGTCTTGACAACACCTCTTCCGAGGCACTTGAACAGCTCCAGTCCGGATGGCATATTGCCTTCGCAATCATCCTGCCTGTGCCTCGCTTCTGGGTTTCACCACGCCCGAGTGGCCTGAAACCTCTGGGAGAGGCCCCACAACCTCTGCGAGCCTCCTCCTTAGTCCGTCATTTTCCTTCTTCTCCTTTTCCTCCTCCTCCTCCTCCTCGTCCTCATCCTCGTTCTGCTTGCCTCGCTTTCCTGATCCTCCCCGTCCTTCTTTGATTCACATTGCTGCTGCTGTCCCTCCCCTCCTGTTCCACTGCCCTCCTCCCCTACCTCCCCCGCCTCGCCCTCCTCTTCCGGGAGGTCTCCTTCTCATCCTCCTCTCCTCCTTCTTCTTCCCCCCTCGTTCTTCTTCCTCCTCGTTCTTCTTCCTCCTCCACCCCTCGTTCTTCTTCCTCGCCCTGACCCGCACACATGTACCATCGAGCTGGGCCCCCCCTCCTCCTCGCCCTCCCCCCTTCACTGTCCGCCTTCTTCCCCCTCCTGCCGCGCGCGCCGCGGCCATCGAGGTGACCCCACCTCCTCTTCCTCGCCCTACCCCATGCCACTGCCAACACTTGTGTGCTTAGTTCGGTCCTCCTCTTGAGTCCGGGGCGCCCCGGCGTCTCATCCCATCCCGCATCCCCTCCTCCTCCCTCCTCCCATCTCTGCCCTCCGCGTGACTTCTGGCACACACTCCACGTGCTTCGTGGGCCCATGTGGCCCACAGGGAGCCCCCCCCCCGAAGCTCAACGGGGGTTCGCATACGTAGGGTTCCTCAGCTGGTTTCGGCACACTTCTCACACGCCTCGTGGCAACATAGAGAGCTCCACGAAGCCCCCGGGGAAGGGGTCGCACAGCGTTCCCCATCCCATTTCGGCACACCCCTCACACGCTTCGTGAATCTGTAGAGAGCTCCACTGAAGCCCCCTGGGGGAGGGGTCGCATAACGTCCCAAAACTCATTTCCGCACACCTCTCACACGTTTTGAGGCCCCGCATGGAGATCACCCTCCTTCGTCCCACCTGCCTTGCGGTCCTCACACTTGCATTTTGTTGGGCCCTTCGTCAAAATATCTTACTCTTGCAGGGCTCAAATGATATCCGTGTCCAGCCGTGTAAGCCACATGAAATACTTGAAAGCGCAATCTTCGCGCAATGTTGTTTGATCCTTCGTCCATGACATCGACTAAGCAGCAAATGTCGTACAAGGTGGGCACATAAACATTCCATGCGCAGGGAATGGCGCAAATAACCACTCCTGTCCGCGAAGACCCCCACGATCCATCTCGTCCTCCCGTTCCTCCCGTTCCTCTCCTTCTCCCTCTTCCCGACCCTCCTCCTCGTCCTCCCTCTCCACTCGTCCTCCTCCCTTGCCTTCTCCTCTCCTCGTCCTCTCCTCTCGTCCTCCCTCTCCGCGCGGACGTGCCGCGGAGCCGAAACAGGACGGGACGGGCGCCTCAGCTTCGGCTTCATGTCCGGGCCCTGCTCGCCCACGAGGTTCGGTCCTGCCGTGGCTGCCCCCGCGGGGCAGGATGGCAGCGAGAGGAGGCTACATCCTCCCTCTGCCTCTCCTCCCCCTCATTCCCCCCTATATCCTCATTCCCCCTCCCCGTCCTGCCCCTCCTCTTCCTCCTCCTCCTCCTCCTCTTCCTCCTCCTCTCCTCCTCACCCTTCTCCTCCTCCCCCTCTTCCAAAATCTGTCCCTGGGCGTCTTCCCAGGTCCATCTTGGCCAAATTCTCGAGCCGCGCCCAGTCGGGCGACGATGGCCCCAAAGAACCGCTCCTCCCCCCAGAAAGTGCAAAACGAAAATGCCGTCGTCAGCGTGGCCTGCGGAGTCGGGCGAGAGGGGACCCCCGAGACACGCCCCTCCAGGAACGTGCGAAACGAAAGCATCATCGTCGCCGTCGTCGGCGGCGTCGGCGGCGTCGTCGTCGTCGTCGTCGTCGTCGTCGGCGTCGTCGTCGTCGTCGTCGCCGCCGCCGTCGTCGTCGTCGTCGTCGTCGTCGTCGTCGTCGTCGTCGTCGTCGTCGGCGTCGTCGGCGTCGTCGGCGTCGTCGTCGTCGTCGTCGTCGTGCTGCGGAGGCATGGGCGGCGGCGACGGCTGACAATGGGGGACCGAGGCGCGGCGGCGCGAGGCGGGGAGGAGAGGGAGGAGGAGGAGGAGGAGGAGGAGGAGGAGGAGGAGGAGGAGAGGGGAGGAGGTGGAGGAGAGGGGAGGAGGAGGGAGGAGGGGGAGGAGGAAAAGGGAGGGGAGGGGAGGAGGAGGAGGAGGAGGAGGAGGAGGAGGAGGAGGTGGAGTGAGGAGGAGAGGAGGAGGAGGAGGAGAAGTGGAGGGGGAGGAGGTGGAGGAGGAGGTGGAGTGAGGAGGAGGAGGAGGAGGAGGAGTGAGAAGGAGAAAGGAGGAGGAGGAGGAGGAGGAGGTGGATGAGGAGGGGGGGAGGGGGTGGAGGAGGAGGGGAGGAGGAGAGGATAAGGAGGTATGAGGAATGAGGATATGAGGATGAGGATGAGGATTGAGGTGGAGGAGGAGGAGGAGAGGAGGAGGAGGGAGAGTAGGAGGAGGAGGGGGGAGGAGGAGGAGGAGGGAGGGTGGAGGAGGAGGAGAGGAGGAGGAGGAGGACTGGAGGCGGAGGAGGAGGAGGAGGAGGAGGAGGAGGAGGAGGAGGGAGGAGGAGAGGTCGGGAGGAGGAGGAGGAGGAGGAGGAGGAGGAGTTAGGGGGAGGGAAGTGGGAGGAGGAGGAGTAGGAGGGGGGGGGAGGAGGAGGAGGAGGAGGACATTTTTTGGACATTCGCTTCGGGGCTGAACTAAAGCTCAAGCACGTTCCGCGGACAGCAACTGACCCCCAATCCAAGCCTGGGGCGTTGCCAGTTCCGAGTCGGCGCCAAGAACCCTACCCCAGGAAAAGGAGGGGAGGAGAAGGACATGCATGAAACACAACTCGCCCGGGTTAAACGCTGCCCACCTTCTAATGGGCCGTTCCCAGGCCAGAACTGAAACAATGCAGAACTTCCCCAGAACGGGGCAGAGAATCCCATCCCACCCACCAGTGACCCCCTCCCCAGACAAGAGCAATCCCTGAACGCCAACTTGCAGGTTCGGACTTTCGAGCATGGTGAGACCATGGCAAGACCCGCCAGGGAAGGCCACTTGCTTTCGCCTGTGACCTGGCTGCCAATTCCTTGAACTGTCTGGAGGGAGGAAGGAGGGAGGGGGGAAAAGAAGGACAAGGGAAGGGAAGGAGATCAAGACTGCAAAGCACTGGGGTAAACTTTCTTCCCACAAACTAGTGGGAGTCCCCTAGCAGAGCGAGACCAACGTTCCCCAAAGGGAAGAGAGAATACTAGGGGATTACATCGCCAGACTTTCCTGGACCCCTGAAAGTAAAATTCGCCGGCCCAACGGGCCAGAGGCGTGCTAAGATCTCCGGTAACTGGTTAACAATTTTCTAGTTCGCGCGCGCGGGGCGGCCCCTGGGGGTCCCCGGACGAAAAGTACCCCGACCAGGTCCCGGCCGGTCCCCGGCCGGGTCCCGGCCGGGTCCCCCCGAGCGCTCCATGAGCGCACCAACAGGGCTCCGAGACGTCCCCGAGAGCCCCAAGAAAGGCCAAGAGGCCCCCAAGAGGCCCCCAAGATGGTACACGAGGGGTCCGACATGCCACAAGATCGCTCCAAGACGCCCAAGATAGCCCCCAGACGCCCCAAGAGGCCTCCAAGAGCACTCCCAATAGGGCCCCCGGAGGCAAAAATCATTGTTTTTCCATAGGTTTTTGAGAGATTTTGGAGCTTCCACCTTTTCGGCTTCCCGACGCCCCAAGACGGCCCAAGAGGCCCCCAAGATCGCCCCAAGAGGGCCCAAGAGGCACCCAAGAGGGCCCCAAGATGGCCCAAGAGGGCTCGAAGACGGCCCAAGAAGCCTCCAAAACGGTCCAAGAGGGCCCCAAGAACGCCCCCAAAGGGGCCCCAGAGAGGGAACACGAAACAACATTTCGAGCCCTCGGCCCTAAGAAGCCCCTACGAGGCCCCTAAGAGGCCCCAAGAGGCCCCCACGGGGCCCTCAGGAGGCCCCCAAGAGTCCCCCAAATGCCCCCCCGAGCGCCCCAGGAGTCCCCCAAGCGGCCCCAGGAACCCCCAAAGCGCCGCATTGACACCAGGCCCTCGGGCAAACGGCAGACATGAGACTGTATGGGCCGGCGGAATGAGCGAAGCGATTAAATAAACTGGGCTGAATACAACTGCCCAACTAGCGCATGAAGAGGAAACTGCAGGTAAGCTACCTGCTTCACAGTTCTGCCGATCTGGCCAAGGAAACAAGACGTGAAGGTAAAAGAAACGCTGGGGAGCTGACAACTGTCCTACCCAAACGAAAGGACCAACACAAAAGGATTCTACCAAAACTGTAGCCAAGGAATGCTGCTCACTAAGCCAATACTCAAGTTGCCATTTAGCCCAAGATGCAATAAACAATCTGCCGCTAAAAGAAGGTTGGATACTACCAACATATTTGCTCCAATTACTTTGAAGAAGTGGAGTCTGAGCTGGATTTGCTCCTCCTAGGAACCGGCGCACTGCCTGAAGCTGCGTTTTGATTCTTAACACGATTTAGCTCCTCCTGGAGAGACTCTAGCTTCTGCTGGAGGTGCTTGATCTTGATATCCTGGAGACCACACTTTAACTCCAACAGTCTTGAACTGGACGGGGCAGAACCACTGGAAGGGGCGGCATCGCTGTGCCCAACCTTTGCACGCTTACTAGCGCGCTCTGGAGAAGTCGAACGAGGACTGTCGACATGTTTACTGGCTGAGGGTGAGTCGGACACGCTGTCGCTGTCCAAAACTGGAAGCTTTTCTTCCTTCTTGGTGATCTGAACCTTTACCCTAGGCTCGACATTGAATTTCTCGCATACTGCCAAATAAAGAAACTGTTCTTGCCCTTTGTATTTGTCCAAGAAATGGTCCAACTTATCCAGCATCTGCGGTTCGTACTGCTGGAAGACATCCGAGATCAGGAGCTTGAACTGATGCCTGACTTTGAACTCCTGGCCCTGCTCTCTGTCGGCTTCTACCTGACGAGCGGCCTTGTCTTTGGGATTGGCCTTTACTGCCACAAAAAGGGGGGGTGGCTGCGTCATCTCACTGTCGGCTTCTACCTGAACAGTGGGCTTGTGTTTGGACTGAGACTTCTCCCTGCCAACTACTACCTCAGCACTGATCCTTTCTGTGCGACCAGACTGAGGAGGAGGAGGAGGAGGAGGAGGAGGAGGAGGAGGAGGAGGAGGAG